AAATCTTCGATAAATCAGTAATTATTGAAGCTAATTTATTCAAAATTGATGCTTGCAACAATTCGTTACCAAGAAATACGTTTAGGATACAATTTTGAAAAATGGGCGTGGCACCGCCCACTTATGATCACATATGTATCTCGGTAACCGTTCTAAAATATTATCTAAATCTAAATTATGTATTCAAATCGATTTGTCCATTGAAACATATAATTTTTCGAATACGGAATAAAGCGAAAAATAATGATCACATCCTTTCTTTTCGAAAAAATTAAAAATAAAAAGAATTATGAGAAATGATAAAAACTTATCAACTTGGTACCAACTTTGGATAAAATTAACAACTGTATTCGTCTGATTGCCTCGTAGTTAAATTTTCGATTTCTACCCAGTGTGCACGCATGTGCTTTTTTTAAGAAGTTTTACTTCTATCGCGTGTACGATGTTGCACTCGTGCTATTAAACTAATGCTTTTTTCTCAAGTAGTTTTGCTCAGTGGCAATTTATACATATATATGTAAGTAGTAGTGGCACATTGGGTGAACTAAATGCATTCATACATACATATTAATGTACAACTGTAGGTTGTCAAGTGCGGGTGATAAACCCATGTAGCATAGTTACATACTGTGTACATACCTGCAATTAAAATGGGGAAGAATGTTACAATTTCGGCATGTGACTGAAAAAAACTCTAAAATACACACAAATTGTGGTTTCCAAGACATGTACGAATTGATTAGCACAGCTGCATCCTTCAACTTGTCAACTCGCGGGAAATTCCCCGATTTCCAGGGGATTTCGGTTTAAGTGGCAATCGGGGAATTAGAAATTTTTTCGGGAAACTGGGTATGTTATTTTTATATTTCAAAGTAACCAAATTAGACGGACATGTTAATTTTTAACCATTTGACCCTTTTTGGAGCCATATTTTGTCAATTTGAATCGCAATATCGCCACAACAAGAGTTTTTCCAGATATAAAATTGTATGCCAGATGAAAGCTAAGATTTTGGGCTAGATTTGTGGAAACTTAGAATAAAATCGACTGACCAGTTTTTGAGAAAATACCCGAAATGTATATTTTCAGCAGCCCGATTTTTAGTGTTCAGGCGGTAAAGTTATGACATATTTATATTTTATAAACACAAAAGATAGCGTTAGAAAGCTTGTTTGAAGACCCTTCTACTGATATCCACATGAATGACATGGACTAACTAGTGCGGCCTCAGTTGTAGTTTAAAAAATTG